TTACATATGGTCACTATGAGTCAGAGCCAATTCAACAATTCAACAGCAACACTCCACAGAATTGTGAAGATTAAATGAGTTAATCTTTGTAGTGTGTTTAGAACAGTGCCTGCTGCTAGTCAGTGCTCAGTAAACATTTCCTATGGTTATTCTGTCTTTATGCATATATGCACATATACGCTGTTAAGCATGCATACATACACATGTTCACATACATACATATGCATCACTCTTCAGCCACGCTGCCTGGGCCTTAGTGTACACTGCTATTCTGTCTTCTGGCCGTTTCTCCCTTCTCTCAGGTCTCAGAATTGCTTCTCCAAGGAGCCTTCCCTATGCCCCTGGCAAGAAAACCCCATGCTATCCCACCCTTATTTTCCTGGGAACTGATCTTCCTTCCCCTGTAAATGGTACTTCCTTTGTCATCTTTGGGTTTGTGCCATGGAGCTCAGCCTAGAAAATGGTCAGTACTTAGTATTTGTCAAATGAATAAATGAATGCAATTATCCTGATTTTTTTTTTAATCTTCATGCTAATACTTAGCAGATCAGAAGGTTTTTTACCCCAGAAAAAGAATCTCTGTTTCAAATTTTCACTATTAGGTTATCTGGCAGTTTCCAGAGGAAGTATCCAAAGAAAGGTTCAATTAGCCCAAGACCTAATAACCTAAAGAAATAATTAAGGTTAATTTTTAAAAGATAACTCCTCAATACAACCATTTATCTTGAATCACTGACCTGGAGATGTTCCCTCTTATTTTCATTAAGAAGTATCTCTCTGGTCTTTTTCTCCCTCTCCCCTTTCTCAGTCCTAGAGTACACACAACTGAGAAAGGAGAGGGGAAAAAACACCAAACAGAGAAACATTTCTTAATGAAACGAGGCAGCTGTATATGTGGTGGATTGAGGTGTATAGCCTGAATTCAGGTGTCACATCATTGCCCAGATTGGAGTCAGTCTTCTCACCCCTCCGTTCCTTTTTGGGACTGAAGCACCAGTCCCTGCCTGCCCTCTAGTGTACAGTCTGTGAGTAGGCATTCAATTGGGCAACACACAGGGTTCCCAGGGAGAAGAAAGACAACTTGGGGCCGGGTTTTGCCTTCCATAATGCTGTGTACACATATTGCCTGAGCATACGTTATTGATCCGGTTTGTTTACTTGTTACTTGGTCTGTACCATTTCCGTCCTTCCATGGTGCATCTACATATATAAACTGACAGATTGGCAAACCACCAAAGCTTAAATTGGTTCTGGACTTAAATATTTTGAAGTTCTTTTTTTTTTTTAAGTTAAACTTCTGTGACAACTTAATTTATGGTGAGTTTTTAGGGCAGTAAATTTTTTGAAATACTTTTTCAGTGCATTCCAAAATAGTGAAGGTACTTCAACTATTGCATAATAAATGTTTAAGAGAAAAAAAAATAGATTAAAATCAGTTACTATAATCATCCCAGTTTTGAAACTCAGTAAATGTGGTTTCTAAAAATTACTTTCACTGTTGATAAAGCCACAGTTTTCGGTAGTCAGGATAACGCCTGATGCCTGGTGGGCAGTCCTTCACAAAGCTGAGCTGGTTTCTGCACACGCAATTGCAACTAAGATGCATTTCCTAAGCACCTGTCGCCCTCAACAGGCTCCTCAATGTGGGGGCCAAGTCACTGACCACACACTTGCTCTGAGGGGGTGAGGAGGACTGCTCCTTTGGGAATAGTAATAACTGTAGCTAACCCAGTGCATTTCCATATGGTAGGCACAGTGCTAAGTACTTCATGTATATGCCATTTAATCCTCACAGTAGTTTTGTGAGGTATAGATACAGTTAGCCCCATCTGACAAAAGAGGAAACTGAGGCAAGATCCCTCAGTTGATGTGTGATAAAGGAAGGATTTGAACACAGTCAGTCTGTCCTTAGAGCCAAGGCCAGGAGATTGTCTTGGTGGGACAGAGAGAGGCTGTGGTCGTTATATTTGTGTGTCAACTTGGCTGGGCGTGGTTGAGTGGCTGGGCAGCTGGTGATAGTTATTCCCCATGATGAGACTGGTAATCAGCTCCATGGTGGGATCTACCACAAGCAGCTGAGTAGCTGCCTTTGGGATGTGGCCTGCTTCCTGTATTTAAGGAAACGCCTTGGGAATGGTCTCTAGCCTATGGCACGCTTGGACCTTGTATGTAGCCGTGTCGTTGCTCAGCCTGCTATGCTCTGCCGACCTTGGGACTTACAGTGGACTTAAGTTAATGGCCTGCCGTGTGGATTGGTAACATTGGGACTGTGCCTTTTTACGTGTTAACCTTGGGGCTTCTGAGCCTCAGCAGCCAACAGCTGTCTGAGTGAAGAAATGCCTCTAGCTCCAGTGGGCCAGGAGCAGGAGGCAGAGCTAGACCCCAAGGTTGAGGGGCTTTCACCTAGCCCCTAGAGCTTGGTACTTTGAACTTGGACTTAAAGCCTCCAAATTGTAAGCATAAACTCCTGTTTGTTAAGGCCATCCTATTTGTGGTATTTTCTTGTCAAAGCGGCACTAGGTAACAGAACGGGGGCATTGGCAGAGAGGCTGTTGGGGATGCTTATTGGGAGGGACTCTTCCATCCATACCCAGGCCCTGGGACCTGGGGCCCAGAGTGGGAGAGGTAGCTGGAAGGGAGGCAAGAATGTTTTGTAAAACGCATTACTTCCGTGAGTGTATGTTTTAGGAATTCCACAAGAGCATTCAGGCCATTCCCAAGTGGCTCTCAAGAAAGGAATTGCCTTCTATGCTCTCTGACATAGGACCCCAACCTGGCTATCTTCTCTCTCCTTGGTTAAGCCACATTGTCCTGAGCAGATGAGCTCCCCATCCTGTCTATTTTTGTAAATGTGCATGGATCTGGGGGCTGTCACTTTCATTGGATTCTCAGACCCCAAAGGGGGTTCCAGAAGGGTTCCTGGGCAATACCATTGGGCGGAATCCTCTCTCTGCTGCTGGCCGCCTGAGCTAAGGCATACTGTGCCCAGCTCAAACCCCTGCCTGCTGAGTTAGCTAGGGAGAAGAACAGGATCTCCCATGTCCATGCCAAACCCACTTCAGCCACAATTACCCAGTTTCAATTCCAACCCATCTTGGTCAGGCATCATATGTGCCTCCTCATTCCTCCGTGTAGCCACAGACTGCGTGGCTAGTGGGGCCAGCAGCAAAACAACAAGGTATTTGAGACTGTGCTGAGGGTTGAAAGGACACCCATATCAGTTCTTGGTATTCTCCTTTGAAAACTTCAGCTTAGCCTCCAAGGTGCTAATATCAAATGTATACCGTTGATGACTAGGTGGGAGATTGCATCACCTTGACTCAGAAGCAGACTGGTAAATCCTTCACAACCAGCTATCTGAGAAAAGCCTTGGTCTGTAGCATTTGCAGTTTCTGAAGTATAAATACTCCTAAACTATCAATATAATGTCGGTCAACAGAGTTGGGAAGGGATAGGCACCTTTATGTAGTATTTTCACCAGAGAAACGAAATAGATGTCCATACCCTTAAGAGCACAGTAAACTGTGGTAGAATAATTGGAAATTGGTAAGTTTTGAGTATTTAGTATCCTTGTTCTTAATATTTCTTTAATTGGAAGTTCATATAATTTAATTTTTAATAGTGGCTGTGTTTAACAGGTGGCTCCAGCATACCCCTGCTCTTACTCTTCCCCTCTTTAAAAAAAATAAAAGTTGAGTTTGAGGGTAGGGACTGGGCTAGGTGGGGAGGCCTAGAGAGACATGAGGAAGGGAGGCCCAGCAGTGATTCCCAGAGTGGAAAGGAGGCATTGGTTCCCCTGTACCTAATCCTCTACTTATCGAGGGTCTCCCCAGCCTGACCCACAGGCTGAGGAGCATTCTGACTCGAAGTAAAGCATAAATGTATGTTTTCCTATGTTTGAAGACTCCTCCTCAGCTCAAAACTTTATGCAGGTTAGTTGAACATCACTTCGTGGGCCCCTAACCTAAAGAGGATTCTCATGACACCCCACCCCCTCAGCCCCATAACCCAGAACCATTTTCTCTCAAAGCACTGTGTACTTCTGTGGTCATTACCTGTATTCATTCATATGTGTGTTTGCTCTTTGTCTTTCCCTCTACTGGAAGCTTCAGGGGGGCTGTGTCAGTTTCATTCACCCCTTGACACTAGTGCCTGGTGGGCATCCAGCTCATAGCAAGCGCTGAGTTGAAGGGAAAGAGCTGGAGAGGGTAGGTTGAGAGAGAGGCAAGAAAAGGGGGAGGAGGAGGAAAAGGCCAAGGGAGTTAATTTAATTTATTTGAGTAACTTTGTCCAAGAGGAGGCAAGGCATTAGAAGTATGCTGGGCCCTTTTGGTCCTTCCAGCTAAAAGGGCTGTTTGAGTGAGGATGTTCTCTGCTGCTAGTAACAGGAACCTGATTTAAAATGGCCTGAACAATAAGAAAACCATTACTCACATGAGTAAGGGTGGCTTCAGATTGGCATTTTCAGCAGCTTAATGACATTGTCAGAGACTCCAGTGTTTTCTTTCTTTTGGCTCTACCTCCTTAAGGTTAAGCTCTGCCCTAAGGTCAGGGCTTCCTGTGGTTGCCAGGAGCCGGAAGCATCATCTGGACACAACAGTGTCCCACAGAAGGGGCATCAGTCTTCTGAGTAAGGAAGCCTTTCCCAAAGGCCACATGACTTTCCTATCCCAGGCTCTGCACTACAAACTGGAATGACCAAGGTTAAGTTAAGCCAGAGGTCCTCAAAATATGATCCCCAAACCAATAGCATCAGCATCACCTGTAACTTGTTAGAAACACAAATTCTCAAGCCAGCCCTCCTGATGGTTTTATGCACAGTAAGGTTTGGAACATTGCTCGTGACTGGAGCTGTCCGTAAACATTTAGCATCCACTGCCTTTAATCAGAGTCGTGAAGTGGACAAAGCCTAAGAGTTCTATGATGAGACACAAGGGTGCCCTGGCAAGAGTGCGATGACCGGCTGTGTGTGACCCTCCCTGCCTTTGCCTTCTCTCCAGCTACCAAAGGTTCACTGACTGTTACAAGCGCTTCTACCAGTTGCAGCCTGAGATGACACAGAGGATCTATGACAAGTTTATAACTCAGTTGCAGACATCTATTTGGGTGAGTTGGTAATAGAGGACAATTAGACAAGGGCCAAGTCACTTGGCCGATACCAGCAGATATTCTTGGCTTGGGTCCTGAGGGCAGAGATGCCACCTCTGCTCCTCTGTTTCTTCAGACCCTAAAACTGTCCTCCACATCCAGTTGTTGTTGTTGTTGTTTTGCCGTCGAGTCGGCCCCGACTCATAGCGACCCCTCCTTGGGTTTCCGAGGCAGTATCACTACGGAAGTAGGATTGCCCAACCTTCCTTCCGAGGAGTGGCTGGTGGGTTTGAACCGCCAGCCGTCTGGTTAGCAGGCAAGTGTCTTAGCCACTATGCTACCAGACATCCAGTAGACTGCAGCATCAGTCACCCTCCAATGTGAGTGTCTTAAACGCCCCCTTCTGGAATTGTCCTCTTTTGTAATCATGAGTTTATATGCTATCTGCTGTACTAGTCATGTGAGCTCAGCAAGGGTAGGACTGAGTCTTATTCATCTTTGTACATCCAGCACTTGGTACAGAGGGAGTGTCTGATAAACCATTAGGAGTCAATGGAACGGCATAGTACAAGACCTATGAAAAAGGACATGATTTCCCTTGTGTCTTTAAGTAGCCTTGATTGCTCTAGGGATTTAAACTTCCATGCTGTTAACCCTCTGGGATGGTCTTATTAAGCAAAGGGTGCTCTGGGAGTGGAGATAACAGTGGGGCCACAGCTCAGGGAGGGTGCTGCTGTGGAGGTGGGAGAAGAGGTGGGGTGGAGTGAGGGAGGTGGGTTGGGACAGCTGCCTGAGATGGGACACAGACCTGGGAATGGGCCACCTTCACTCCCTAAGAGTGAGGAGTCCATGAGGACAGGGCAAGTGGGCCGGTGTGCACGATAAGGAGGTAAGATCTGGGGTCTTGAGTGCCAGGGTCGGGAGATTAGGCATCTCAGATGGGCAGTAGGAAGAGGCCTGCTGCAGGCTCTTTTTAAATATTTTCCATTTTATGTGTTATCTTGTTAATTATACAGTCACATGTAGAAAAGCTGGAATGTTAGGGAAAGTATAAACACATGAACAGAAATTAGCCAAACTCTTACTTGGTGCTATTAGCAGTTTAGCCTATTTCTACTCTGGGCTTGTCTAATATCCTTCCTCCTTTCTCTTCAGGAGGAAATCTCTGAAATCAAACAGGAAGGGAACCTAGAAGCCGTCCTGAATGCCTTGGATAAAATTGTGGAGGAAGGCAAAGACCACAAGGAGCCAGCATGGTGAGAATGGGGGCTAGGAGGTGAGCTGGGCTGGCTGTGCCCCACCTCCCTCAGGCGTCTCCCAGCCCGAGGGGAAAAGGGGCATGTTTTGTGTCCCTTTATGAGGGACCCACAGGAAAGGCTGAGCGCACGGTCCCTGAGAGAGGATTCTTTTACAGGAACAAGTGAACAGGACAGACACTGAACAGTCACCAAAGCTGACTGAAGTGTATAGTGCTTCTTGGGGGAGGGGAGCCCCAGGGCATACATGTTGGGGTGGTGTTAGGAAGGGAAATGGTTTGTGGCAAGACTGAGGTAAGCCTTTCTAGAGGAGCACATTTCAGGATCTTCTTGGCCTATGGGAGAAAGGGAAGGCAGACTGCAATCAAATGGAGATGAGGCAGGCCCAGGCATCTGGTTTTTATTCCTTTGTTCATTCAGCAATAGAGAGCATCTGCTATTACGCCCAATACAGTTTTAGATGCCAGAAATTAAGCAATGAACAAGACCAAATACCTCTTCTCCTAAAGCCAGCATCTCCATGGCAGCCCAGCTGCCTGGTCTGCCCCATGTAGGATGGAGAAGTGGGGCCAGGGAGGAGTGCAGGGGAGAGGTCTCGAGGCCACCTGCCTTCTACAGCCCTCTCCCTGAACAGAATCCTGGCCAGAGAGAGTAGACGTTTTTGATACTTTACAATTTTTCTATGTTTTGTGAACCTTAATCCTTAAGATAGTTAAGTTTTACTACTGATTTTTTTTTTTTTTGAAGACTCTGTAGTGGCTTGCACCCCACTGTCACTTAGAACTGTTCTCCTTACTGGGCCGTCCTCCTTCCCTGACCTGTCTTTCCTTATCTTCTCAAATCAGCCAGTACGTTTGGGGCCTCCCAGGGCCAGGTAGCCACCCTCCAATCTTTCTAACTCCCAGTCTCATGGGATGGATGGTCCATCAGGGCACATGGTGACAAGGAGAGACAGGGGCTGGAGAGTGGCCTTTAGCCCTGAAGTATTAGGGTTTGTGAGGTGGGAGTGGTGGCAGAGAGGAGGAGAATGTGGGGTGTAGTTGGGAAGGCTAAGATACCAGCTGAATGAGAAGGGGAGAGGTGTACCCTTGGGCACTGAAGCTCAGGGCAGACAGTGAGTGTTCTTATCAGGAGCAGGGGTGGTGCAGGTGGGGTCTTAGGAGGTGAGGGGAACCACAGGACGTCCTTGAAAGCCTGCCCAACTGGCACTGAAGGGCTTTGGAAGTAGAACCCTCACCCAACACATCCTCTCCTCCTGCCCCGTGTCCATGTGGCCCTCCAGGCGCCCTAGTGGGATCCCAGAGGAAGACCTGTGCAGCACCTTGGCACCCTACTTCCTGCAGCAACGGGACACCCTGCAGCGCCGTGTGCAGAAACAGGAGGCTGAGAACCAGCAGCTGGCAGATGCTGTCCTGGCCGGACGCAGGCAGGTGAAGGAGCTGCACCTGCAGGTCCAGACCCAACAGCAGGCCTGGCAGGTCAGTGTCCCAACCCTGTTCCCTTTCCCTTCCTTCTATGAGATGCCCTCTGATCCCCAAATTGGTGGCTTCCTCTACTCCATCATAAGGTCCTTCATAGGAAATAAGAGGGCCTGCCCCTGCAGCCCTGTCACTCACTATGTGTCTGTGTCATTGTGGACACATGCAACAGTCTGCTCTTCAGCCTCAGCAAGAGGGCTCCAGAACCCCTGCTCCCCCTGCAGCAGCCTGTCACAGACAAACAGGCCCTGAGAGGGCAGGCAGCTTCCCGAGGTAACAGCTCATCCACGTCAGAAGCGGAGTTAAAACCCTGTGTGTCCAGTGGTCGTTTTTCCATTCCAGGTGACCACTGGCCATGTCTTTCAAACACCCTACATTGGAACAACCTTTAGAGCCTTTGGCACATCTGAAAAATACCCTCCATGTCACAAATATATGTCTTTTGAATGTGAACTTATTTTTTAAAATAGCCCAAAGTCATTTGGGGCCAAGTTGGCAGAAGAGGGTGACCATGCTGCATGAGACAGGTAGCAGGAGTGGCCACAAAGCGATGAGATGCATTTTTCTTATTGGCCTGAAATGCGGTTCTGAGAGAGGATTTCCAGTAGGGTCAAGTGGTGGCAGCAGGTTGGAGTCTTCCCAAGTCCACCATTTAGGTATCCAATTGATCTACTCAGAGCCACTTGATAGCTCCCTTCTTGGGCAGACCTCCCACTCCCAAGGGGAATAGCCATGGTCTCCAAATCCATGGCTCCCGATTCCCCTAGTCTTCACTTCCCAAGACCAGCCAGCTGCCACCTGAAGGCCCCGCTGCAGCCTCAGCAAGCCCTGAGCCTTCGGAAGGAGGCAGTGGTGGAAGGCTGATGGCCCACTCTATTCCTCTGTTGCCCCCACTTCTCCAACCTCCCCATTTAACAGATTTGTCCAAGGGGACTGGGCAGCAGGCGTGAAGGTGTTTGTGACCAAGGCCTTTAGTTCAGAGCCTAGTGCTCATGGAGGGCAGGTCCTGCAGCTCAGAGCTATGTCTAGGGCACTCTTGGGGCCGCCCTCCTGAATTCTCAGGCAAGATGCTGCTCTTCCAGTGCCACTCTGTCATGAGGAGGCCTCCGGTCACTCCCCTGCCTGGGCCCTGGCTTCCAAATCTGCCAAAGGATGATGCCCAGGGCCCCTTGGACTCTGACAGGCAATGCTTTTATTTTAGAGGGGAAGACAGCACCCTGCCCCTACATCACAACTCACCCAAGCAGCCAGTAAGACCCTGACCATTGTTGTAAGTTGGTCAGTTGGACAGATGAAGTGAGTGTTCAGTTCAAATCCCTATGTGGGAGCTTCAGAGAGCTTTTTCACCAAAATTCCCATGTCTGGTGAAAGTCTACCTCAAAAACATTCTCTGCTAGAGAACTCTAGTGGCTAAGGGATCTGGGGCTACTTTGGGTGCTCTTGTTGAAGATAGGCTCTGCTCCAGGGAGGCGTGGCCTAGATGGTCATGGCACCAATGTGCCATGGATGCCTGCTGAGTGCTGGGGACTTCCTGGCATGCCTTCATCTTCATGCCCTGCTGGACCAGTGATGTTAGCCACACACCCCATCCACTCAGTCTGGGCAAAATCCAGGCCCACAGTCAGGGACAGTAGAGGGACAGAGACTGGGTTTCCTCATGCCCTCCTGATTTGCCTGTTCTCTCCCACTGACTGCAGGCGCTACACAGAGAGCAGAGAGAGCTGGGGGCTGTGCCGAAGGAGCCCGAGTGAGGGGAAAGCCAGGCCCAGCAGCAGAGGGCAGTTGAGGTCGAGTGCCTTTAGCCCTGGATGAGCTGCCTATGAGAAAAGCTATTGCCTAGTCCCTAAGCAGTGATGGAATTTGCTGGAAGATGAGGCTGGAGCTGGCCCCACTGCACTGAGCCTTTAAAGCCCCCTTGGGGTCACACACACACTACTTTCAGAATCCCCGTTTTTCTTCTGACTTGCATATTCTTAGCCAGCTCCCACCCTGGCAACCAGGCACTGTGCTTTGTCTTCTCTAGGGTCGGGCTAACAGAGTCTGCCCCACTGCCCCATATGTGGTCCCCACCCCCACTTCATTTGCTCTGCAGTTCCTGAACCCTCCCAGGACCAGGCTTGGGAAATCTGTTTTCAATCTCTACTGATTGTCCCCTTGCTGACCAGCCCAAGAACCTTCCCATGTTTTTCCCACATCCGTAAATAAACTTCTTCCTCTACACTGTAATCTGTGAGGATGCTTCTTCCTCTGCAGGGCCTCTCCCAGCCAGGACCCCTCCTGGGCTCCAAGTTGGGTTCAGTTGAGGCCCCACTCACAGCTCTGAGCTGCCTCCAGGCTAGGGCGTGCGGGCAGGAGGAAGGGCGGGTGTATCCAACCATCATCTGCAGAAGGGCAGCGAGGCCCCTTGTCACAGAACCCAGGACCCCTAGGTTCTCTGAAGCTAGGACAGGCTGCCAAGGGGGTGTCACTCTGCCCAACCCAGCCTATCCTCTGCCATTGGGGCTCACTCTGAGCGAGCCTCAGTGCTTCACCCAGAATAAGGTGGGCCACCAAGGGAGCTGGCACTTGGTACTTCTCTTGCCTCACTCCTCCTCCAACAAGGCCAGTAGCATCAGGAGGGGCTCAGCCAAAGGCAGAATGGATGCTCCCTTGGGACCAGATGATGAAGGGGACTGGGGGCAAAACTTTCCCTGTTGAGGCTGTAGCCACTGGTGATGGCCTCACTCTAATCCTTTGGAGAGGAGCACTGGTGGCAGCCATAAAGACATTGAGCGGCCCAGCTCAGCTGCCACCCCCTTCCCCCAGTGTCTCCCACTGCTCCACCCTGTCATGGAGGAGGTGCAGCATTAAACCATCCAGACAGATACCCCTCCTGTCTAGCTGGGTCCAGTGGTGGTAGGAGCATTGTGTGTTTTCTTTGTTTGTCGGGTTGGACAGATGGTCCTGAGCCAAGGTGGGAGAGTGGATGAGTAAGGACACAAATCAGAGGGGAAAGTTCCAGGATGCCCCTCTTCTGGTCCCCAAGCTGACCTAAGGCAGTGTCAGCTCTGAGATGGGACAGAGCGTTTTTCAGGCTGAGATGTTCTGTTTAGAGGACGGATCTTCCTATGACTCACGGGGGCCATCCCTGAAGTTAACACAGAGAAGAGGCTGCCAGGGCAAGAAGAGAAATGGAGGGCCAGGAGCCCTGAGGTATTTATTCTCCAGCTCCCTGCCTTTCACAGGCGCTGCCTCCTATCACAGGGCCCAACCTCCTTGTCTTGTGCACACATTCCTGTCTGCCTGGCTGGCCCCACTGTTGTAAAGGGCACACCAGACCTGCCTGGAGACCTGAGAGATAGTTGTCACCTCACACCCAGCCCCAAATACGTTCCCTTGGTTCTGGCCCTATGCTGCCCTCTCTCCTGCCTTGATGCTCAAGCTTGACCAGAGTCCAGCTGCCCCCACACCAGGCCTGCTCAGAGTGTTGCTCTGAGGCACAGGCCCCTGGGTGAACGAGGGCATTGCCAGACACTCCCTTCCTGGGGTTTGGCTCCTGCCACGAGCTGACAGTGGAAATCACAGGCTTCAAGAGAGCTGGAGGCCAGCTCTGCTGTAAACTATTTTAGACCTTGGAGCCCCCTTCCTCTCCAGTCTCCCCCTCTCACCCCTTTGGCCCATTTCAGAGGCTAATGGTCTCAGATTGTGGCCTACCTCCTTCATTACTCCCAGGCCATGCCCAGACAGCCACAGCTCCCCACCACAACATCCTCTGGGGTTTGGCCTACAGAACCACATGGATGACCTTCAAATAGCCCTGGCGGATCCCCTTGTGACCCGCCCTCACCATGGTCAGGCAGCCCGCCCCTTACCCCCTAGACACAGCTAGAGGGTATAAATGAGGCCAGAGGCTGGAAGGGACAAACCATCTGAGCCCCGGGAAGCAGCTCCAGCATAGCCATCGAAGGACCGAAGGACACACCATGAGGCCCCTCACGCTCCTGGCCCTGCTGGCCCTGGCCGCACTGTGCCTTGTGGGCCAGGTAGGTGAGTGCCCCCTCCATCCAGTCCATGTTCTGGTGGGGTCTCCAGGGGAACAGTGCCATGCCCCACCTCCCTCACCCCTCCACTAGCAGCCCCTTGTGCAGTCTACATCCCTCGCTACAGGCTCAACCCATTTCTCCTCTGTTCTGTCCAGACTTGTGGAGGGCGAAAAGGGGAGAGCAAGCTGCCAGAGGCAGGGGAAGGATGGGGGCCCTTAGAGTGAGCAGGGGTGAACCGACACCCTTTCCTTTGCAGACGCAAAGCCCAGTGGCGCCGAGTCCGAGTCTGACAAAGGTGCAGGTATGAGATGCATGGCCCTATGGTGCCACTCACCCTCGTCCCCCAGCCCCATTCTTTCCTCCTGCCAGGTCCTGTCTGGCTGTCAGGAAGGCCAGCCTGCTCCCCACCTTGCACCTCAAAACTTAGAGCCACCTGATCCCTGCCCCTCTACTCCACAGCCTTCATGTCCAAGAGAGAGGGCAGTGAGGTGGTGAGGAGACCCAGACGCTACCTGTATCACGGACTGGGGTGAGGGAAAAGGGGGTGCTGGGCAGGGCTGTGCATCTCTAGAGGGGCCAGTGAGTTGGGAGGAGTCAAAGTAGGGAGTGGTCTGTGGAGGTGGGGTGGGGGTGCCCATTGAGAGGAGGAAGGCAGCTACTGGGGAGTGTGCATGAGGGTAATGGTGTTATGCTGGGCTTCTTAGAGCCCCAGCCCCCTATCCTGATCCCCTGGAGTCCAAGAGGGAGGTGTGTGAGCTCAGCCCGGACTGTGATGAGCTGGCTGACCACATCGGCTTCGAGGAGGCTTACCGGCGTTTCTATGGCACAGCCTAGGCTGGCCAGTGCTGCCAGCCCAGCTGGCCACCCTGGGCTCCAGCTTCTCTCCACGAACCCTTCTACACTCACCCTGACCTCCCTACCCTGCAAATGTGGGGTCCTCATCACCCCAGCTGCTCCCAAAATAAACTCCAGAGGAGGAATCAGTGGGTGATGACTCTTTGTCCAGTCTCTGAAGTTCAGGAGGGAGGTGGGGTTTGGGGAGTAAGGCTTTACCTTCTTCAGTCCCAGAAAGTGCTTCTTAAAATGGACTTTATTTGTACCTGCCTTGTTCCAGAAAGCATTTAAGGTGACTTCCTAAAGAATAACTAAGGTTCCAGGCCAGCATGCCCTCCTCCCACCTCAATCCCACCTATGACACACCCCTACAGGTCCAAACCCCAAAGGCCTGGACACTTTTGGGAGTACATGGTGGGGGACAGGGTCATCCCTAGGTTGTGACCAGAACAGACAGAGTTATCTCTTAGGCAAATAGCTGCTGGCACATGCCCCTGCCTGGTTTTGGGGGCAGGAGGCAAAGGTGTGGCTTCCTGGGCGGGTTAGTGGGCATTCAGGATTGGCTGAGGTGAGTTGTGTTAGTTCTTCCCTGGGCTGAGCAGAGGCTTCCAGAAGCACGAGAAATGAGGCCAGATGAAGGGCCCCAATATCCCCCATCCCAGCTTGAGCAGGGGATGGGGACAGCCCTGGCCTGGGCACATGCACCTCTCCCCTCTCAGACCCTCAGCACTTCCCTAGCCCCATCGAGACACCCTTACACACCCCACCTCACATACCCACTTTCAACCAGCCTCCCTGGTACCCCTCTCCATCGCCCCTCCTCTGCCTTCTCGCCTCTGCACTCGCTCCTCAGCCACTCTGGGTTCCAGGCTCAGATATCCCCCCACTCAGCACTGCTGGGGCCTGGCCTCTGCCTCCCTCCAGGGCAGGGTCAGGGATGGGCTCACTGTTGTTTGGTCCTGGTGCTCTCCTCTGGCAGACCACCCTGCAACAAGGGGCATGAGCCAGGAGCCCAAAGCAGGGAGGCTGTGAAAGTGGCGATGATGAGGAGGTTCCCAGCCACCACCAGCCCTAATGTGGCCAGCGTGCCCACTAAGCCCAATGCTGGTTCCTGTGTGGCCAGCCAGGCTCGCCGTGATGCCATATCAGCCAACACTGCCTCCAGCTGGAAGTGGGTGCCCAGCACGGCACAGATGTGGAACAGCTGGTGGCTGTGGCCTGTGGGGAGGGTGATAAGCAGGTCAGGACACAGCCTCTATTCCCAGGCCAGGGCTTCCCTGATGCACCTTGTGACCTGGGGGCCAGTTAGCCCTTCCTCTAGGCCTGCTACTCCACCTCTACATTGGAAACAAAATTTGCCTCCCAGAGGAGTGAATAAGCTGATATGCATACAGCTCCAAGCATAGTAATTACATGCTCCAAGTTTTGCTGGGAACTCTGGTAGCATAGTCCCTAAGGCACTTGACTGCTAACCACAAGGCTGGCGGTTCAAACCCACCAGCCACTCCTTGGAAGAAAGATGGGACAATCTACTTCCGTAGTGATACTGCCTTGGAAATCCAGGGAGGGGTCGCTGCGAGTCGGGTCTGACTTGACGGCAAATAACAGTTTTGCTGGTATCTGAGCAATGAGGCTGGGGGGCAGGCCTGGACCATGTGGAGTCTTCCAAGCACTCTCTGGTTATAGGAAGACAGAGTAGTCCTTCCTATAATTTGTTTCTATCCTTCTGGCTGGGATATCCCATTTATCTAGTTCTTACTCTGTGTTTCTGGGAAGCTGTCGCCCTCCTTCCGCTTGCTGGGCCAAGCTCTTACCGATGTAGTCAAAGCGCCCTGGTGCCAGCCGCTCAGGGAGGTGGGAGGTGAAGAGGAAGCCAGTGAGCATCGCACAGAAGAAGTGGTAGCCGTGACTGGTACTCAGTGTGTCTTGCCCACAATCATGGCCCCGGCCCCAGCACAGCCCGAGCTGGCAACAACGGGAGAGTGGGGCTGGGGAGGGGCTCTGGTAGTGGAAGCGGGTGATCTGGGGTCTGGCGAGGATGCAGATGAGTATAGCTGGGCTAGTGCTGGACCTGGACAGTCAGCTAGGGATTGAGGGGCAGGACTGCCAGTGGTCCCTGAGGGTCAGGATAGGAGAGCAGGAGCCTGTGCAAGGGGCCTCAGAACCCTTACCCGATAGAAGAGTGGGAGGTTGTCGAACAGAAAGGGGTAGGCGAAGGCCGCTGTGCGGAGGGCCTTACTGAGCCCAGGGCTTTCTAGCTCGGGGAACCTGGGAGGCAGGAGGGAAAGGCAGGTTGATCACCATCCCTGTGCTTGAGGTGAGCATCAGAGGATAGGGAGACCCTTCAGCCTTGGGCCAAGATCAGTATCATTATAGCTTAGTGGGTAAGAGGGTCCTTAGGGCACCCAGCCAGCTCTGTAAATGACTACGTCTGTATAATGGGGATATAGCCTGTTAGGTGGCTGTGAGAATTAAGGAGACTATGTAGGTCTAGGGAGCTCTGGTAGCATAGTGGCTACGGCACTTGATTGCTAACCAGAAGGCTGGCAGTTCAAACCCACCAGCCACTCCCCGGAAGGAAGGTTGGGCAATCCTACTTCCGTAGTGATACTGCCTCGGAAACCCAAGGAGGGGTCGCTATGAGTCAGGGCTGACTCGATGGCACATAACAACAACAACAACATGTAGGTCTAAGGAGCTTTAGTGGTGTAGTGGGTAAGGCATTTGGCTGCTAACTAGAAGGTTAGCAGTTCAAACCCACCAGCTGCTCTGTGGGAGGAAGATGAGGCAATCTACTTCTCCAAAGATTTACAGCCTTGGAAACCCTATGAAGGGTCGCTATGAATTGGAATCGACTTGATGGCAGGCAGGTTTTTTTTTTTGGTGTAGGTCTAGTGCTAGTGTACAGGGTCTGGCACACAGTCCTCAATGAATGGTCCCATTCGTTACTATTATTGTTCAAGAACCAGAGGCGCAGGCACAAGATCACTGGCTCTCCGTGAGTTCCAAGTGTCCGTGTGTTTAGGGGAACCCACCGGGAGTAGCAGGAGAGGCCGGTACACAGGAAAGAATTGAGTGCGGCGGTAGGCACAAAGAGCTGGTGCAGGGGGCCTTGCAGCCAGGAGGTCGGCATGGAGTAGGCGGCATAGGGGAAGGCGCAGCCTAGGGTGAAATGGGGGCGGGAGCTGAGGCCCGAAGGGTGTGCGCAGGCGGAGGCTCCTCCCCCTATCGCGTCACACCCGGAGCTCCCGCCCCCGAGCTCCCCACCTAGCCCTCCCGCCGCTGTCGAGCTCACCCAGGCTGTACAAGCTGAGTGCGCCGTAGTCTAGGAAGTAGCAGATGTGACGCGCGCGGGGCGACATGGAGCTGAAGGTGTGTGCGCAGCACGACGCGAAGGGGTAGAGGCAAGCGGGCACCAGGAAGATGAGTATCGGCCAATGGTACGGCTCCGCCCGGAAGCCTGGACCCCCTGCGAGCGCCAGGAGACGCCAGAGGAAGTACCTGCGGCGGACGTTTGCTCAGGCTGCCGCTGAACCCCGCGACTGTCGCAGCAGTCCGCGCGCCTAGATGGCCCCTGCCCTCCTGAGTAACCCCTCTGAGCTCAAGGCTGCGGTCTGGGGCAGAACTTTTCCTCACCAGGTGGGTAGGAAATGAGTCCAGATGTTGACCGTCTCGTTGGTCATCTGGAAGGAGCTGAGCACACAGTCCAAGGCCGAGCTGGTGGGACGGCGGTAGCCAGACATGATGCCGTCTTCCCAGAACACCTGGGACGGTGGTGGAGGGGGAGAGAAGAGGGGAGTCACTGTGCCTGGAGCCCTTTCATTTTTGAGGCATCTTTGCAAGCAGGGTTGAAGAGGATGGGCTGGAGGTTACAGTGGCCCCAAAGCCAAACTAAACTAACTAAAGCATCTTACCACAGGACCTAATACCCGGAAGACAGATGAGAAACAGGGGAAAAGACAGAGTAAGGGGACAAGATAGGAGAACAGTGGGGGGAGGGGGCTGGACAAAACGCCCAGGGTAGGACTCTGAACAGAGGGGCATGCTGGACACCAGGGAGTGGGTCACAAGTATGTTCTTTAGAGAACAGAAGGCAGAATCTCATGCTGGGTGGGAGGGTAGGAGTTAGCCTGCAGGAGGGATCCCCGATAGCTAAGAGAGAGTCTGTGTCTCAGTTGGTCCCCTGGAAACTGGGGTTGGTGGGTTGAGCCCTCACCCGGGGGACCTGGTGGACTTGCAGGAGTTGGGGCAGCTTGAGGCTGAGCATGGTGATCTGGTGCCTCCACGGTGACCTGGAGAGAGTGTGGGGGGGGGGGAGGTCAGGTGTCTGCTTTCATCCACAGGTCCTCTTCACCCAGGTTCAGGCTGGGCCTGGTCACTGAGCCCTAGGAGTCAGGCTGGGGGGAGGCTGGCCCAGCTTTCCTTTTGGAGCTAGCACCTGGCACTAGCCATCATGTCACATAACCCCAGCCCCTCACAGGCTGCTGTTCAGGTTCCCCATTCTATCCTTGATGAATTCAGCAGTACCACCTCCCCTGCCCAGTGAGAGGGGCTGGTCTGCCTCAGCCAAGCACTGAGTGGAGGGTCCTTCCCAGCGGGAGGCTGCCTCAGTTATTAACCCCAGACTCCCTAATTTCTATCTTGGAGAACCCTGGCCCCCAGAGGCCAGTGCAGAAACAGCCCAAGCACTCCCCCATCCCACCAGAAAGCTCCTTGGCTCACAGTGCCTGGGCTGAACACAGAAAACTCATGGCCCTCAGGGAAAATTCCTGGAGAGGCCGATGCCTGCCAGCAAGGCAAGGCATTAGGGGGATACTTGGGTATCTCTGAGGACATGACTTGTGCTCCCTGGAGACATTCAAAGTAGGTTCCTTCCTGCCCCGCCTGATCCCCATGCCCATAGCCCCAGACCTGTGTGCTGCTTCCCGGTGCGGTGTGGCCCACAGCTCTGCTGCCCGCCCACCTCTCAGGCCACCTCTTCCAGGCACATTCCTTGGCAGAAGTGGAGGGGCTGGGCCAGCCTCGCTGAGTAGAGCTGCCCCTGCAGGAGGGAGACACTCCCTCCACTCCACCCTCCCAAGCCAAAACTTTCCAGCAACTCTGCCTAGCTCCACCCCTCTTCCTGTGTGCTGTTGGCTTTGGCTGTCTGTGTGTACATTTGTACACAACACACTCTGGCCCCACACTGCCAATTGGTCTCCCAGGCCTCTGCACCTCTGCCATTCAACAGTTTAGGAGCCCTTTCTCCTTGAGTTGGGTGCTCGGGACCCAGCTGGGCACAAGGCAACCCCTGGTCCCTAGTCCCTGCACCTCAGTGGCATTTTAAGATGGATAAAGGCCTTCCATGGTATTCCTCTCCCCCAAGGGCTGGTCTGGTCTATCTGGAAATACTGCGCAGCCTGCGAATGAGAGGTGAGGAAAGTGCTGGGCACTGTTTCCCCCCAAGGTCCCTCCTATTAGCAGTAGGGTTTAGAGGTCTCTGGAGTATGGGTGAGGTGTCCCCCGTTACTGTGCCAATGGGGACGGGTAGCTGGAGCAAGAGTTTTACTTTTGTTTCCCCAGAATGGATGTCAGAACCTCAGACGGTGAACTTTCTTACCCTGAGCTTGAGGGGTGCTCCTAAACCGGCGGGTCTGCACACCCAGCTGCACAGGCGGGGTCTCGGGCTCCTGCCATCCAGGCTGAGAGGAGGGAGGGAGGGAAGAGTGGCCCGGCAGGCAGGCCAGGCCTGGGCGGGGAGTGGGGGGACAAAGGGGAGCCAAGGAACAATCCCAGCCTTGTCCACCCTCCAGAGAGCAGCACAGGGTGGCCCAGCCCCATTAGCAGGCAGCTCACTCAGCCTCCTGCACACAGCCAGCCCTTCCAGCTTGACCCAACCCCATTAGATCAGATTGGGTAGCACAGGCTGGAGCCCAAGCCAGGCAGGGGCCAGGGTGATGGAGCCCATTAGACCTCAGACTGGGCTGCACCTCTCCAGGCTCTCCCAGGAGTGGAGGACAGCTCTGCCTTAAGCTGGGCCGAGGAGTTCAAACCCCCACAGATCTTGTACTTGATTTCAGAAACCACCTCCTACTATACTTTCCTGGCTTTTAGGTTTGGAACAAATGCTTTTCATAAAATGTTGGTTTAACCATACAGGATTTGCCAAGTTTGGTGGCGTAGTGCTTAAGGCATTTGACTGCTAACCAGAGATTGGCTGGTCAAACCCACCAGCCACTCCACAGAAGGAAGACTGGGCAATCTACTTCCGTATAGATTTACCATCTTGGAAACCTGAAGGGGGTCGCTATGAGTAGGGATCAACTTGATGGCAGCAAGTTTGGTACAGAGTTTTTTCAGATACAACCTGAAGGCCCAGTCCTTGCAGAGGGACAAGCATGGGGACTCCAAGAGGCTGGCTCCAAAGCTCACACACCCCTTGTGGGAATGTCTCCCCAGAGAATGCAGCTGGAGACAAAAGCTTCCTTAGGAAAACTGTCCCAGAAAACAAGGCCACCTGCAAAGTGTTTTCTTCATCTCCTGGCTTTTGGCCCAACCTCCTGCCCCTCTAAAACTTTCCCAGTTATCAGATCTTATGAAGGTACCACCTCAGTTCACAGAATCAAATAAATTTGACAGTGCCTCACAAAACCACCTCCAGGGCTTTTGTTCAAACTGCCTGCCCCTTGCTGTCCCACCTGGGAGCTCTGGTGGCCTAGTGCCCGAGGCATTTGACTGCTAACCAGAAAGCTGGCAGTACAAACCCACCAGCCACTCCTTGGAAGGAAGATTGGGCAATCTACTTCCATAGACAGTGCTTCAGAAACCCAAGGAGGGATTGCTATGAGTCGGGATCAACTCGATGGCAGTGAGTTTGGGTTTTTTGGTTTGCTGTCCCACCTACCTGTCAGCAGCTTTTCAAAATGCCTTGCAGCATGTTATCCCCAACACCCCCCTCCAATGAGACTTGTGTGTAAAGACACCAGGAAACAGGGAGAGGGCTTGGGGGGATCTTTATTAAGTGATGCTTGTCTCAATCTCTGCCAGGGACCAGGGGCAACTCCATTCCCCCCAGGTTTCCTAGACTGGCTCTTAGAGGAGGCTGGGAGCCTGCTCTTAGAGGCTGGGAGCCTGCTCTCCTTTAAGCACAGCTTGGGAAACTGGGCTAGCCCTGGGGGAGAGGAGGCAGCCCAGCTGATACCCTTGCCCCGACCCGACCCTATGCTGTATTTCCAGCCTGAGGGGAGGGGCTAAGGCAACCCTGGCCCACACCTCCCACAGTCCTGCTCTTGGTGCTCCACTCACTGCCCTGAGCTATTCATGATCTCTGCCCCCACTTCTCCCATATTTACCTCAACACCCCAAAGCTAGCCACATGCTCAGCCCTACCAGGTCTTCATCCTGAGGAAGGACTAAAGTAGGGAAGCCCATCTGGACAGCGGGCCCCTGACCAGGCAGCTTCAAAAGGCCTCTCCTTTTGGTTACCCACCTGAATGCAGGCCCCTGGTCCCCACTCTCCCCTTGGCTGTGAACAAAGCCCTCCCTGGACAGTGAGGGTGACAGCCTCAGGCTGTGCCCCCACCATTGGCATCCAACTCCATCCCAGACTAGCAGCCAAGAGCACAAAGCAGCTCCTGCTCCCTGCTCTAGAAGCTAGACTGAAGGAGACAGAAAGCAGAGTTTGGTGTGAGGCCCCTGCAGCAGGGAGGGGACTGCAAGCCTAACCCTGCTACTCACTGCAGGCCTGCCAGGCCCTGCTTCTAGAAGAGCCTGCTGCCCAACCCCACAAAGGGTGATGAAAAGAGGAAGGTGGTCCTTGAGGAGGGGAAGGGTCTGCAGAGAACCACCCACTATCAGGTGTTACTCAACTCCCCCCTCAGAGCCTGGAGGGTCCAAACTTCTGGCCCCCAACCACCCTGGATCTGGGGTGAGGAAGAAAGGTTCCTTCTGCTGTTCTTTCCCCTCAGAGGTCCAGGAACCACTCCAATAAAACACAGATGCCCATGCCTGCCACCTGCCCCTGGGGACAGCACGGGGTCTGAGGCATGCAGGCTGGCCTGGGGTCCACAGGCCTCTCCTGCTCCAAGCATTTTCCTTGCTTTCCTGACATCGGCTTGGCAACAGGGGACCCCGCCCTCCCACTGGCTCCTGGCCCCTCCCTGCAGCCTCTGCACGCGGCTGGGCTTCCTTCCTGTGTGCGTGCGTCAGTCTGCGAGTGGTGGGGTGACTACAGGTGGTGGTTCTGGCTGCCAGGGAGGGCAGGAGAGATCTGGAGTCAGCCCCACAGCAGGGCCTGGGGGTCAGTCTCAACCAATCTCCTTCCACTGCTTGTAGAAGTCCAGAACATTTTTGATGTCCACACTGGCGTGGGCAACGGCCTGCAAAGCTGCCTACAGAGCGAAGGGAAGAGATGTGAGGGGGCCTGACTCCTGAACTATGGCACAAGTTGTCAAAGGGCTGGGGCAGGGGTGATGGAAGGACAGCTGAGTGGAGGGCTTGAGGATGGAGTCCACTCTGGTACCTCCTCCTGTCCCACCCTGCCCCTTACCTTCCAGCCCATGACCCACCTGCATAGGGCCTGAAAGCGTGCTGGGGTTGTCCAGTGAAAGGCCTGTGACAATGGTCACCATTCCACTCGGATCCTCTTCACCTGCTCCCTGGGCCAGAGTAAGCTGTTTGCAGCTGTCCAAGATCTTATAGAGAGTCCTAGGGGAGAAATGGGGGAAGATGGGCCAAGGCCCATTATTAGCACAGCCTGAACACCAGGATCTCCAGGGAACTGGGCACTAGGAGGCACCAGAGAAGAAAGAGGAGGAACCAGGGAGCCCTGGGCAGTGGGTGTGGGAAGCTGGCCCTGGAGGATGTGCTACAGGGAGGCCCAGGAGCACTGTGTGCAGGCACCGCACCCAAACATCTCAGAGGGGCTCAGCTACTACAGCAGGCGTCTTACTCCCTCCAAAGGGAGACCTGCAGGAGGCCCCAGGAAGGTTGAGTGGGGAGCCTGAGCTGGTCCTGCTGCCTGGTACAGAAGTCTGTGTTGTGGCCCTGGCCCATGCTTCTGGAAGCGTTCATGGAGGAGTGGGGCAGGCAGCCTGAGGCTCCCCAAATGAGGGTAAAATTTTACCAGGCATCTGCATCCTGCCTCTTCAGCTTATGCCGTTCAAAGCTCTTTCCCACCTCTTTCTGGCAGCGAATGTACCTGCGAAGGAGACATGAGAGTGGAGATGGGGGGCAGAGCATGGAGGGGTACTTCATACAGAGCAGACCATTGTGGCTTCGGGGGCTCATCTTTCCCATCATGGGTCTGTTTGGAACCATCTGGAGCGGCTTCCTGGCTGCTCGTTTTTCTTCTTGATAACATCGCTTCTCTAGTTCCTCCCAGAGGAGGAGCTGGGAGGGTAGAAGCAACAGATGCTTTTCAAGTCAGGGCTTCTGGAGACAAGGGCCAAACAAGCAGTCTTTGTGTGGCTTCCTGACCAGGCAAGGACAGATGAAGAGGCGGGTGGGGCCCAGCCAGCAGGGAGAGGGGTGTGTTCTCCCTGTAGTCCTCTGGCCTCACAGGCCAGAAGGGCCTGTGCTGGGCTAAGGACCTGCATATACTGCCATCTGCTCCTCCCTGGATGGTCAGACCCTTCCCACATCCTCAGCTCAGTGGGAGGTGGAGGTCCTAGGCTGCCCTGATGAAAGGGCTCCCACCCCAGGGGACCTCATCACCTGACCCAGCCCTAAAGTGGGAGATACCTCTCCTGAACAGGGGCTCAGCTACTACTCACAGCTTGGATTAAAACTGTGACTTCTAGTTATCTCTTTTGTCACTGTCCCTAGGCAGTGAGCAAAAAAAGGTGGGCAGAGACTGTATGTGTCTTACTCATCTCAGCAGCTCTAGATCTAGCTTCCTGCCAAGCACACAGTAGGGAGCTCAGCACAGGTCCAGCCAGGCTCACTCACCTGTTTCCTTTTTTAAACTCTGCCTCCAGGTATCGGATCCCATCCCGGGCCCCTGGGTGTTCCTTCTTCAGCAGATCCAGACCATCAATCACTGGTGGGCAAGATGGAGGTGGGGAAGGACAAAACAGATAAGCTCAGGTTGCTATGGCGGGGGCCCTGCACGAAGTACCTGAGCTCACCCCAGTATACACTGCAGGAATAAAAGGGGCCATGGATTCTTTAGAGTTCTCAGTTTTTTAAAACACTGACATCTGCCAGCAATGTACTTGTAAATTTACCAAGTGCTTTCACTTAAATTTTCTCATCTGTTTCTCTCAACTGTCTTGTGAGGCCCATTTCGAAGATGAAATGACTGACATTCAGAAAGGCTGTAGGACTTGACTAAGGCACTGTGTATCAACTGGGCCCCAAATAAGGGTCTCTCAATCCCAAGCCCAACAGAGCTCTGGTGGTGCAGTGCCTAAGGCTTTTGACTGCTAACTAGAAGGCTGGCCATTCCACAGAAGGAATATGGGGCAATCTCCTTCCATAAAGATTTATTGCTTTGGAAGCCCAGTGGGGTTGCTATGAGTCAGAATCAACTTAATGGCAGTGGGTTGGTTTTAATCTTTGTTCTGCCTGTCCTTCCCACCACCCTCTCCAGTGTGCTTACCAGTCCTTGGGATGATGACAATGAAGCGGCCACTGGTGGCCAGCTGGCGGATGACAGGGAGGTGATGGCAGAGGGCCTGGGTGTCAGGGACGAGGTAAGGAGACATGGCAGACTGGGCCTTAGGCTGCTGCAGGCTGCCTTCCAACTGGGAGACTTCAAGCTGTGAGAGAAGGCAGATGGTGGAGCTGT